TTATTAGCCCATGGTGGTTGTAAATAATGAAATCAATTCGATATTTGGGGTTACCTGGGGTTTAAATTGGTACTGATCTTAGTCTAATGTTTCCAATTTCAGGAATTGAAACACATTACTATATGCCTTTGCCAGCAAGCAAAATGTTAATCTTGATAGATTACATTAATCTTTATAGAGAACACTTTTTGCTCTACTTATATTTCAGGATCTTAACTCCTCAATATAAGGATGCTTTAGCCCTTTATATTGAGAACACGGCACATTTATTTTAATTGGATAACTGAGCTTTTCTGCTTACTGAGCTGTCTGCCTGATATTTGCAAAATGCAGCTATTTTCCCCCAGCATAACTGAACTGTTCATTTTTATACAGCCTGTCATCCAAAATGCAGAACTTAATCCTTAATTAGTTGTCATATTTGTTTAGATGTTATACATCATCCATTGGACTGAACTGTTTGGTTTACCGTCCTTTCATAATGCCCATTAAATGATTATTTTTTGCATTCACTTATGTTTTATTTAACAGTTTACCTGTGTACTGAACTCCTGACTCAGAGGCCTTTTGCGACTCAGTGGAATCATGGCATTGGTCAGGCGTGCAGGCTGTCCAGGCAATGCATGGGTAAAGCACAGTGAACAGAAAGCAAACCAAACCCAGCCACAAACTGTGCTGAGAAGCAGACTGGAGTGCTGAGACAAACCTTAAACACAATGAGCTTTTCTCCAGTTTGGGTTTTCAGCTGGTTTTGGAATGAGGAACCTAGAACGGGACGAGCCAACCTGTCTCACAGGAAAGAGAAAGGACATGTCTTTTCCAAGTAGGAATATAAAGACCAACTCTTGGATCTAGAAGGACTTGTAATATTTTTCCTCCCCACGCTAACCTCAGTCTTACCGCATTAAAAGATTCAAGTTGATGCTATACTGGCAGGTACTACCTGGATATTTTTCTGATCCTAGTCTGTGTCCATTGTGCTCTTTGTGAAGTGCTGCAGGACAATTATTGGTGTGCAGAGCACTAGGGACGTGCTGGAGAGGCAAAAAGGCTTCCGGAGAACATTTTCCCTTTCAGACAAAAAGCAAACATCTCCATCGCTGTATGAGCCAAGTTACTTGTAAGGACTCAAGTCCTAGTCTGGAAAGCAGCAGCATGAAGCTCCTGTTATAGGGAGAGGTTAAGCGTATGCCCTTCAGGAATAAATGAAGCATTATGATAAACTTTTATAATACTGGTAAGATGACTGGTTTTTATGACACTTTAATAAATTCTTCACAGACCTCCCCAAAATCATTGTCTCTCTTCTGATCTCACATCCCACTCAAATCTCTTCCCACTGAAACAAGGTTGCTTTATTTTTCCCCTTGTTCTTTTTTTCTTCTCTCCCCTCCACCTACCAAAGTGATGATACTTCAGCTCTGCTTCAGGGAGGAAATCATTTGCACAGCCTTTTTTCCTCACGCATCTGTACTGTAAAACTGAAAAAAATGTGGCAATAGGAACATGTCAAACTTGCAAAAAAAAAGTATCACTTGAGGTAAGAAACAGCAATACGGCATAACAACAGCTCAAACCAAAGACAAAGTTCCCAGAAAGAGAAAGAAAATTAAATTCTACTTAAAAAAATATTTTACCCAAATAGGAAGCTACTAAACAACCCAGATGCCCTTAAAGATGACCAAGGAGAGAACAGTACAGGACATGGTATACAGGGGCATTGCTAAAATTTCCTAAAAAGATTCAATTTAATCTTTGCTGTACAATATCCTACAATTAAAGCTATATTAGAACTTTAAATAACTCAAAAAAAAATATGCTGAAAAGCTTACCGCATTTTCTTTCTTTTCTTTTGGTTACATATGATGCTGTGCTTATTCTCTGGCCAATTGTTTAATTAATACAAAGTTATTATTAATTTAGCTTGTGTTGGCCATGAAAGGAAGCACTTGCTGCATTAAATCATAAATAATGACACCCGACAATATGTAGATGAATCCAACCACATGAAAATTATGTGGTGTTTCAGGTTCTGTGTGTGTGTCGGTGTTTCTCATGTTTCTCTATTCACACGCTTCTCACCTTCCTTCAGTCACACTCTCACTGCCCTTGTCACTTCACCCAGCCACTAAAGCAAACACCGTCATGCATGGTGTCGAGGAGAGCACACTTGAACATTTAGAGCTTATATTTCATGTAAAGATATGAAGTAAGCATAACAAAACACCTCCCCACCATTCCTGTGAAATATCAGGGTTTCTTCTCTTTACCTTCCTAGAAGGATCCAAGCAGTTTTTAGAGTAAAGCTAGCTGCTAAACATGCAATATTGGATCCCTTATCTTTATGTCTTCTCTTCCTCTGCCACATGACAACGTAACAGGAACCCAGGTAGAAGAGTCACCTAATTCTGCTGGCATGCATGTGACACGATTCCCGGTACATTACACTGGTGGGTAAGTCTAGACCTACAAGCACGGAGTCATCTTTCCTGCGGCCTGG